GACTCTGCAGGTCCTCCATGTTCAGGTTGTTGGACTCTGCAGGTCCTTCATGTTCAGGTTGTTGGACTCTGCAGGTCCTCCCTCTGCTGAAGGGATGACCTTTCTGAGGGCGTTCAGCTGTTGGAGACGGACAGAAACATTTAATTGATGGCCTTCATCACAATAAACTGACTGAACCTCCCTGGCTCAGATGGACCTTAATTAAATGTTCCAGATGCGCGGCTAATCAAGATGAGTGTGCATGAATAAAAACGAGCTCGTCGGAGGGTCAGCGCCGACCTTCCACAGTTGGAGTCACTTTTTATTTGTTCATGTGGCTCAAGCTGCACGTTTACATTTTGATCTCGGTTTAAAAGTTGTAAACTGATTGTTAAACGTGTTCTGGTGAGTAATTAAATGTTAACGTGAAAATATACTTAAAGTGAAAATCCATCAGAGTCAGGAAGAAGTTCAGAGAATGGAGTTTGATTCCATGAGTAACTTCTTTTAATAAGTTCTTGTGGACCTCTAGAAGTTTTGCTGTTCCTTCAGTACTGTTTATAGTTTTCCTACAGCTGCTGGTTTCATGAAGCAGAAACTTCCCCCACCCTCTGCTTCCAAGAAATGGTGGGAATCACCATGGCAACCAGTGACAGATTTGATCAGAATTTTTACTTATACTTAAAAGCAGGTGGTTCATCTTTCAACATTTTATCAAAATGTTTCTCATCATTACTGAAACAGCGCAGCACGGTGGCTCAGTTAGTAGAGCTGCTGCCTCTCAGCGAGCAGGTCACCGGTTCAAATCCCAGCCTGGGACCTTTCTGTGTGGAGTTTGCATGTTTTCTCCAAGTGTGCGTGGGTTTTCTCTGGGTACACTGGTTTCTTCCCACAGACCAAAAACATGCATGTTAGACTGATGGTAACTGATGTCCAGGTGTCCCTGTGATGGACTGAGACCTGTCCAGGTGTCCCCCGCCTCTCACGCATTGATAACTGGACATGGCACCGGTGACCCCCATGACCCAAAAAGGAAGAAGCGGGTAAAGATGATGGACGGATCAGTACGGAAACTGCTTTATGAGTTCTGATGATGTCTGTGTTGGTGTGTTCTTGGGTCTGTTAGCAGAATATCTCATGATCCACTGGACGAGTTGCAGTGAATCGTGCAGGAAGCATCACTGGACGTAGGTTTGTTTTATCGTTGCTTCTTTGTTTTACCAAGAAGAATGAAAAGCTCAGGAGGAATTCCCGGCACGTCGTCAGGTTTCTTTCTTTTAAACGCAGAGGATCAGATTAATTAGTGGAGAGAAAAACAAACTGGGCTGGAAATAAAACCCCGAAAACTCCCAAGCATGAAGGATTTGAGAGATTAGCTCAAAAACATTAAAGTGCATCAATTCATTGAGTCATTAAAAAGCTTCTCTGCATTCACGGATAATTAGGACTCTTTATTCTCAGGTATAATTTAAATTACTTTGAAATTACTTCAACCTTTATAAAAACTCTGCTCCTGGATGAAAATGAGTCGTTTAGAGGAGTGAAAATATCAAAACCTGTTCAAACAGAAAGCTGCATTCAAGAAACACGTTGGAGAATTTAAATTATAGCATAAAACCAATTACAGACGAGGTCAAAGGGCATTAAAAAATAAAGTTTGTGCTTCGGTTTGAAACTGTCAAATTTACAGAACTCAGTGGAAACGAGCTGCTTCTGAAAATCATCTTGAATCTTCCTGGAGAAGAAACAATTCTTACAGTTGACTGCATTCATCTTAATAATTAATTTGAATTAATAGAAAACGGTTTGTTGCGTCTCAGGCTGGAACTCGAGAAAAGAAAGTGAAGTTTTTCCTCCGGGTAACGTTTGCGTTTCTTCTCCTGACACCTGGAGAAGTTGTGGAAACAGGAAGTGATGAAGACGTTCTGCAAACGAGCGAGCTGCAGTGACAAAATCCTTCCAGCTCAAAAAAGGTTAGCTCGGGTCATCCGGACAGTTTGGCAGAAACGTGAGACAATCCTTACAGCTCAACCCTCACGTGGATCCCATGTAGGGTTCTCCTGTTTGGTTGGGACCGTCCTTTGGAGAAAGAACGTTTTCCGGGTCGTTGGAGCCCCCCCCCGGCTCTAGTTTGTATTTCTTGAGTTAAAATTATCTTCAGGAGGTAAAATGTTGTAAAAAGTTTCTCCCGAGCAGTCCCGTCTCGCTCACGTGGTTTTGAGACATTCTTTCTGCCGTGGACATTTTAAACTCAAGAGAAACTGTGGGGGAGAACTCATGATAAGCCCCTCCCACTAAGCCCCTCCCACTAAGCCCCTCCCACTGCAGCGCAGCATCAGCCTGAGTGGACGTTAATATGATGGAGGAGGAAGCACCAACTCACAAAGAGAACGCCTCTGATTCTGACCGAACAGTCGGTGTTCCTCTTGGAAGGTTGTTCGGTCCTAAAAGCTGTGAAGATAAAAACTGGGTGAACCACAGCACAAACCCTCGCTGACTCATCAGGTTGTTAGAAACTTCTAAAGATGTCTCCTGCTTAAAGTAACGGTTTGAATAAAACCAGAAAAGTCATAAGAAGTTTAGTCTAAATACTTTTATTCAGTTTTTGCAGGTACTAGAGGTGCAGAACTTTATCTTCTGTTGGTTACCTGGACTAGAACCCTGTGGTTCTCTGTGTCCTGCAGGTCCTTCCAGGACCTGGCGAGGCAGATCGACGTGGACTACGGCACGGTGCGGGACTCTGCCGTGTACGACTACTTCATGAACAAAGGCACCAACCCTTTGGAGCAGGACAGCACCTACGCCGAGCTGTGGAGAACCATCAGCAGGAACAACGGCATGGACTACTCCGTGTCCAGCCCGTCCGAGGGCATCCGCAAGGTCCGTGTGTCAAACAGAGCTCATCTGACAGGAAGTCGCACTTCGGTTTGAAACATCTTGAACAGTTAATATCTTACCTGTAGCAGATAGCTCTTTGAGATCTTCTTTAAAGGTTCAAAAGCACAAATAGTGGCAGCAGCAGCTAGCTGTAGCACTGTGGGTGTAGAACGCTGGCTCTTCTTGTAGGAATAACGTAAATGTAAAAGTTTAGACTATTTTATTACAAACAGAGAATGGAGCAAAAATCACCTCCTTTGCTTTAAAATGAGGACGTTCAAATATGTCTGCAACAGGTAAGATGTTCACTGTTCACAACTCCCTCACTGAACCCTACTGAAAAACATCTAAACTATATTGAAGTTTCGTCTTTGTTGGTTTCTCCGGCCTTCGTGTTTCGGCTGCAGCCTTCGACGGCAGATGTTCGGCTTCAGTTCATGCGAGCAGAATTAGGAAAACTAAAGCCGGGGGCATTAACGTGGATCAGAAGTTGCTTTGTTTCCTGATTCTCTCCAACCTTTTTGTTGCTGCTGCTCAGCGGATCGTGGTGTAACTTTCAACAAACACCGCGCAGCTTTGTCTGCAGGATTAGCTGCAGAGAGACGAGACACGAAGCTAACGGTAATTAGCAGAAACGATCCAAAGTGTGTGCTCTCAGGTGACAGCTCCGCACTGAAACATCTTTCAACTCAAAGCTCCTTTCGTTCTGATCATTTTATGCATTTAAGCTTTTCTAGGAAACTTTAGTTTGAAATTCAGACCTTTTTCTGAACCGTTCTTTTACTTTGAAGTGTAAGGTTCATGTTTCCAGTGAGACACAGACGAGCCGAATCTGAAACATTCAGATTTCTTTCTGATGCGTCTCCAGGCCAAGAAGAGTCCCTACGCCTTCCTGTGGGACATGGCGGTGCTGGAGTACGCAGCGCTGACGGACGACGACTGCACCGTCACGGTGACAGGAAACAGCATGAGCAGCAAGGGCTACGGCATCGCCATGCAGCACGGCAGCCCCTACAGAGACCTGTTCTCCCAGAAGTAAGAGCCTTTGATCGCACGGCTGCTTCACATTTATAAAGACGGGTGCAATTCTGTCTCTGCCTTCTGCTGTGAGCTAACATCCATGAAACAAATATACACACACGTGTGTATAT